ATATATATATATATATATATATATATATATATATATACGTGTCTAAGCGCGTGTTAACTTTTACTGTTTTTACTCCGAATTTAAAAACGCTTCGCAGTTTCTTAGAAAATATGTAAAGAAATCTTAAGACTCGTATTTCGGTTTCTTTACAGATTTTGTAAGAAGTGAAAAAAAAAATTCGTTAATACATTCGTTTAAATCATGCCTACTTTTTATTGAAAAATCTATTTTATTTTTGGATCTTATACAATGAAGTATTCTTCCGTATTTACTATACGTAACTGAAACGGCACAGTATGCCACACGTGGCTAAACGACCAGGTCAGAGACCGCAAAAATTCAGACATAGCAGTCCCTAATTTAGAACTGCTGATTAGACAAAGGGCAAGACGTTAACAATATTCGCAGCTGCTGACACGATTACTTTTAACCGAGTGGGACCGACTGTCACGATTATAGCGCCATAAGAAGAGAAAGTGCGAAGTGGGTTCAGCTGCGTATTGTTGCTCGAACCTTAGACCTTTCGATCCAAAACTTGGTGTGCTATACCAAACCCATGTTTTTCTTTTTTATATACAAATGTTCGTGTAATTTGAAGTATACGTAGCTTGCTATATTATTGGCCAGGTGGTTAGAGGGCGCTCGACTCGCAGTCTGCGGGTTCGAATCCCCGTCACACCAAACATGCTCGCCCTTTCAGCCGTGGGGGCGTTATAACGTGACGGTCAATCCCACTATTCGTTGGTAAAAGAGTAGCCCAAGAATTGTCAGTGGGTGGTGATGACTAGCTGCCTTCCCTCTAGTCTTACACTGCTAAATTAGAGACGGCTAGCGCAGATAGCCCTCGTGTAGTTTTGCGCGAAATTCAAAAACAAACAAACAAACAATATTATTAACAAGTTAGTGTAAACTGAACCTACTCCTCCCTCAGTTAAGACTAAATGGTGTAAATATGTATTAAATCCAGGGTTAAAAAGATAAGTGAATGTGTAAACGAATGTTTAGCCACTTGGCAGATACCATATCAGAAGCTGTAGGCTGCTAACATCTTCGTGACTTGGTTTGAAAAATCAAAAATCCATGTTGGAGGATAGTAAAGTAATTGATACCTTTTTTTTTTCCTCAAGTTTTATCGCAGTAGTTGTGTTCATCACGTATAACTTGAAACACGTATAACAGTGAAAATGGCCATATAAAATATGCTGACTTAAAGTGCTAGTTTACTAACAAACTATGTTGTAATAATAGCTTTTAATGGGATTAAAATAGTGCCGGACTTTGATAACGATGTTAGCTTTTAATGGTGTTAAAATAGTGCCGGACTCTCATAACGATGTTAGCTTTTAATGGTGTTAAAATAGTGCCGGACTCTCATAACGATGTTAGCTTTTAATGGGATTAAAATAGTGCCGGACTCTCATAACGATGTTAGCTTTTAATGGTGTTAAAATAGTGCCGGACTCTCATAACGATGTTAGCTTTTAATGGTGTTAAAATAGTGCCGGACTCTCATAACGATGTTAGCTTTTAATGGTGGTAAAATAGTGCCGGACTCAGACAACGATGTTAGCTTTTAATGAGATTAAAATAGTGCCGGACTCTCATAACGATGTTAGCTTTTAATGGTGTTAAAATAGTGCCGGACTTTGATAACGATGTTAGCTTTTAATGGTTAAAATAGTACCGGACTCAGACAACGATGTTAGCTTTTAATGGTATTA